TTAGGACTGAAGGTTCCGCTTCTATGGCGCGGGCTTCAGAAAGTGGCTGGTGAGATCGCGATTATAAGGGAGATCAAAATTATACGCCTTTCCTCTTAAATATTTATTGCATTTCCTCCGAGATTTTATACTTTGTACACATAACACGAAACGAGTCAATGCTTTTCACGTTCGTATTTCTCAGATAGATTAACACGAGTATTGCTGGCCGGTCACGCTCGGACTCCCGGGACGTTTCTTTGTTCAAACGATCCGCAGAGAAATTCACTTTTAACAAAAAGACCCTTCGGTTAAGCGTTGAAATCGTGAGAAGACGCATTTACACAACAGGTAGACAAGTACTGAGTTTACACGATAGGTAGACAAGTACTAAATTTACACGACAGGTACACAAGTACTGAATTTACACAACAGATCAAGTACCGTTTTAAAACTACAAGCTTTTCTGTCAGTAAAAGTATCAGAGATCATTGTTTAAGTTACTCGTTTTACGGCGAGAACTTTTGTGAAGTATTTATGTAATAATTTTTATGAAACTTCGAACTTTAGGTTCATATACCGCTAGTAGTATTTTGAGATACATTTGTCAGCACATCGTTGGTCTTTCTATTCTATAAACAACAATCTAAGACTTGTACTTCCGTTTTGGTGGCAACGTTTGGGGCTCCAAAAATACTTATCCAAACAACGTGTTAACACCTACGACGATATTTCACGAAAAGCCAGATGGGCGATGTTGGGGTAAACACACAGAAAAAGAGTTTTCAAACTTTTCACATTATTGAGATTTTTCACATATTTCTTACATTTTTATGTGGTTGTACGTTTCAGTTGAGTTACATTTCCATGTGTTACTAATGTATCAATGAGAATTCAACAAACAATGGTTGACGAGTAACAGAAGAGGTTATGTTCAGTTACATTACACCAAAATGGCGTCCGGGCGACAAGAAAAGTCAGAACACCAAAATGGCGGGTAGCAAGTTCCAAAATACCAAAAGTGACAATAAACATCAAAAAAGCTTTACAATTTCAAAAGAAAATAATACATAATTTCAGTAAGCAAATAATAAATGAAATTCCGAATACCAAAATGATGAAATTAAATTCAGAAGACCAAAAAGTGGCAAGTAAACCGCAACTTTCTCAACGAAAAAGGCTCGAGCAAGAAACGTTCGCGAGCGTGAAGCGACGCGTGCAACGCAAACAAAAATGATGATAGTTGTCTGCGATTAGTTGCAGCGAGATTAACGAGCAATCTTAATTTTTGATAGAAAGAATAACGAAGCGATTGCTCGAGCGAGAACCAAACAGCGAGCGAATCGCGTAATTCACGCGCTCGAGATTCCCAGGTCGCTAGCTACGAACAACTCGTGGAATCTCGGCTTTCTAGATCTCCTCCGTTGTGCCAGCCGTGTTAAGCGGGCTTTTTATTGCCGACACGGTGCCGCGATTATGCCGCAGCTGCTTTCAGACCGTCAATTATACAATAACGAGAAGCTAAGTTAGCGGCTCGATTTTCATTGCTACACTCTGACCCACTTCTTTTCTTTTTTCACTCTTTGTCGACGGCGTGACGACGCATCAAAAGTCTCACGAAATCGACACGGGGACCGTGACATTCGATGTTTGGGTGCTTGTTTAGTACGGTGTTCTTTCGGAGGAATCGTTTAGACTGTAGACTGATACATTTGTGGACAGTGGATGCTCAACAATGATCTTCCACAATATTCTTGGTCAGAAGACTTTATTTATTTCTATGTTTTTCGTCCTAGACTATATTAATAATATTATTGAATGTATGAGTATTCTCAATCTTTTACTACCAATGTAATTTGATGATAGTCAAAATGTATTTCAATGATCTTCCACAATATTCTTAGTTAGAAGACTTTATTTCTATGTATGAATATTCTCAATCTTCAAATGTTACCAATGTAATTTGATGAAAGTCAAAATGTATTTCAAGGATCTTCCACAATATTCATAGTCAGACGACTTTATTTCTATGTATGAGTATTCTCAATCTTTCACTACCAATGTAATTTGATGATAGTCAAAATGTATTTCAATGATCTTCCACAATATTCTTAGTCAGTTGACTTTATTTCTATGTATGAATATTCTCAATCTTTAAATATTACCAATGTAATTTGATGAAAGTCAAAATGTATTTCAATGATCTCCCACAATATTCTTAGTTAGAAGACTTTATTTCTATGTACGAATATTCTCAATCTTTAAATGTTACCAATGTAATTTGATGATAGTCAAAATGTATTTCAATGATCTTCCACAATATTCTTAGTTAGAAGACTTTATTTCTACGTACGAATATTCTCAATCTTCAAATGTTACCAATATAATTTGATGAAAGTCAAAATGTATTTCAGTTTCGTCTGAGAATATATTTGGGAATACTGAAGGTTCCAATACATAATGCAGTAAATGCATCTTATGACTAAGTGTTAACATCAATATATCAATAATGCATACAGCAAATCTAAGTTCTCAGTAATGATGAGAATACTACACAATAGTCCCATATTCCCTATCTATTGATTAAGAGGTTAGAAGTGCTAAAATGCGCACGTACTTGCGAATGAACAACAAACGGAGTTAAATTAAATTTATGACGCATTGTTCGGGCAGAAACAAAAATTACCTCATCGAATTTCAAAGTGTACCTTTTCATCGAGATTCTACACGATTTCTACACCCGCGTAAAACGCCAAGTTCCGCAATTAAAATTCCTACGCCTCGATTGACCGAACGAGTTAGTTTCGAAAACATAAATAATATTTCGTAATAAAATATCAGACTACTTTTACTAGAAGACGTAACGATGTTTATCCGCGGATTATGCATAATTAACGCAATGTGAATAAGGAATCGGAGTGACACGCGAGTATCGTGGCAAAAATGGATCTATCGAGGAAACAGAAATGCTTTCTAACGGTTTTACATAACTGAATTTTTAACGATAGCACGTGCTATAACGCCGGATACGCTGTCTGTAAAAGTAACACGGTTGCAATTAAAGTAACCGGAAATGTAATAAAACCGGCGATACAGGACGGTCTAAAGAAAAAACACCGTGCCCTGTATTTCCATCTTCTTTGAAATTTCTGCACGTACATTGTAGATGAGTGTTCGCACGAATTATAACGTGATCGTGCGTCGATTATGATCGGGTTCTGATCGATGTGAAAGTGAAATTATGCTTAACACCGCTGAAAGTAAATAAGAAAAATAAGGTAGAAAGAACTGGTGCACGAACGAACGGTTTCGCATAGATTCTAGGAAAAATGCATTCTAATTTACTTGATTAGAACATTCCACGTTTATTATAAAAAAGGCAATTGTTTATTCGTGAACTTTTTTATTTAAGTTTCTTTGAATTTTTACGAGACAAAAATGGAAGGATGTCAATATTTAATAAAATAGAGCTCGTTGATTTGGTTTTCTCTGAAAAGATTTATTTACGTAGACAATAAGTGATTGACATACATGACATCATCAATCGATTAGACACTGTATTCTAATTGAAACAAGGTATACAAAAGAGATATGAAATTTTATTCGTTTCGAGGATTTGAACATTTTTGCGGAACTGACGCTAGGAATAATTATATCCGGAAGCAAGGCGGAAGACGCGTAGGTTTGTTTGATAGAAAGCACACCCGTTCCTGTAATAGGCATCGTTAAACCATAAAGAGGATCATAGAGACCGTAGAATCGTGACTACGTGTTGCTTTCGTAGTGGTACCTTCCCTATATCTGTACAATTCCCTACCAGAAATTCATCCGGATCGTACGGTACTTGAATTTTAAGATCTGGATCGCAATTCTAGACTCCTGTTACTCTTGTAGAAACTATATATAATACCCGCCATATATCATATGTGTAATTCAATTTGAACGTAAGTCGAACAGCGTTGAATAACATAAAATTAAACATATACATATGAATCACATATGTGTCGATGTGTGTCCATGTGTCCATGAATCTAATGAGGTGGAACAGGTATGAAAGAAGAATTAAATCGACTCTGAAACATGTCGAATCGTTTGGAATCAAGCAGTCAGCAAACTGTAAAGTAGCCCACTGATCTGAATCCAGGTTTACAAGCGTGAACCGCGCCATGTGTAAGCGAACATTGTAATCGAAGACAAAAGAGAAGAACACAGTTGTTCGTCGGAGGTCAAAAATACGGTGACAGGCAAAACGCGGAAAGATAGCAGAAGAAGCGGGTACGAGGACAGGCAGAGCGTGATGCCGGGCATTGTCTTTGACGTTACGTTGCCTAAGTGACTTGTTTCCACGCTTTCGTGGCTCTCTACCTTCGTAAACTCGTTGCGCGTTGGATAAGAAGCTCCCTATAAAACCGATAACTTTCCTTCTCGAGATGTTCACGTCTTACATGTTAAAAATTGACGTTACGTAGTCGAAAAGATCGCTCTTCCAACGCATTCGCGTATCGATTGCGCGCTATCGTGCCACCGCACTCGCGTGCGAGTCTTCTGCGGAAAGCATTCGTTCGAAATGCATCCTGGATACTCCAGAAAATGCTCGGATAAATATACGCACGGCAATTCAGTAATTGCGATGATATTTATTCGAAACGCGACAATTTTACGAACGCCGTGACTAATCGTTTAATGAGCTCGTGTTAATGAAAGTTTGACGAAACAATGTGTTACGTAGGACCGCGAACTGACGTAAGAAAATGACTTGGTAAGCGATAAAATTAACGACGTTGAAATTTCTAATTACGGTAAAGACATATTCATTACTCGCATTCATTATTTTATAAGCACCGTAAACGTAACTTTCGACCGTCGTAATACCGAGCATTTGTCTTGTAAGAAACTTTCGTAGATCAACTTTGATGTCATCAACGTTGATATCATTAGTAATTCTGTCTCGAACTACGTGGACCAGAAAACTATACAAAGGTTAAAATAATTTTAGAAACGAAGTTCGGCAAATATCTTACCTCCAACTTGGACGAATACTCTTCGGCAAGGGCCTCGCTCTGCCTGGTCAACTCCTGGTTCCTCTCCAGAAGCGCTTTGCCTAATTCCGCGGCTAACACAAGATCCCTATCTCGTTTCTTCAAAAGTTCAACCGGGTCCTCAAGATCCTCGTGGTCCAGAGAATTTCGACGCGTCTGGAGATCAGAGATCATGTCCTCCAGAGCGTACGGCTCCGGTTGGCCGTCCTTTTTGGGCAGCATGGCGTCCACGTTGTTCGATTGTCGCTCGAATGTCGCGTGTACAACCTACGCGTGACCTTTAACGTTCGTAATGACACCAGGTGGTCGGGCAACCACGCGTTAGCATCATTTGTAACGTTCGTTGAAAAAAATACGCTAGTCAACGTGGACGCCCCAAGTGGACGTACAACGTCGATTCAGCGCCACAGGTCGATACTCATGTTGCGATCGATTTACTTCGAGAAACATATCACTTCCCGCCTTTTGTTCGAGCGAATCGAGAATCGATACAGGAGAGATCGGAAATATCGATTACACAACGAAATACACTTTCTTTGTATTTAACTTTGATAACCAATCTCCTTGAAGACGAGTTAAAAAATTGTTTCGTAAAACACGACGGAATAATTGAGCGATCGATAATCCATGAATGAGTCATGCAGTTCACCTTCGAATATCGTCGATAAATTCTACCTGCGCGACAATAAAAGACGAATGCTTCACTTTTTCTTTCTGCTTGCCCCGTGCACGTAACATCGGAACAGGTTTCCGTAGATCGTTAACAGTCTCTCACTACCGGAAACGATCAGCTGTGATCACACTCGCCGGCATAATTTTCTTCGTCAAGTGTATTGCTTTCGAACGCTTTCGTTGATTGTTCGATACATCGCGCACGCGCACTGCGATCGATTCGCAAATCGACGAAACCGGCGGTATTGTGTTGGAACTGATTGCACGCTAGCGTCGATCGATATCGTATCGTAGCATCGATCGTACATCGATGCGATTCATATCTGTCCACGCACTGGAAACGAGGGTAAACTGTTACAGGATTAATTCTGTTATGCTCCGTTTGCAACGCGCGCAAACGGACGATTCCTCCTTTTACGATAGAAAGTCAACAATGTTTGCCACGAAAAACTGCCAACGTAACCCCTCTACTCCGTCCTTTGTTCGTTTCCAGGTACAGCACGCACGCAAACCTGCTGCAGCGTAAAACTGCGATCGCTATCGCCACGAATTACACTTGACTGTCAAAATCTCTAATTCCTTTTGACGCTCGAGTAAATTAGACTGACACATGTATTAGGAATATCTTCGTAACGAGCGAACTTACGATGTCCATAATTACGAGCACTTCGAATTCGACGGTCCGCACGAAACGCTTATGTACTTCTTTCTTATCACGAATTTGCACTGATAACGAATTGTTTTTATGCATTCACTCCAGGAATTTTGGCTGGTGCACTCACTGTTTGCCATAAACACTCCGAAAGGGACGCGGACACGCGAGGCGACCAACTCGCCGCACCGTGGTCGGCCAGGTAGTGACTCACTAGCCGCCAGTAGAAAATAAATATTACGGAATCGTGTGCTGTACTTCCCAGCCAGGTAGAGATTCTCCCACCTCCGAGACTCTGGCTGAAAGTAATTTGTTCTACTCGAGCTTGTTCCGCTACGAAAACGTTCGCTAACACTGTTCAAATTCGATCCGGTACAATTATCTCGATTTTGATCTCTCGAGCCGAAAATTTTCTGGTTCCATTATCTCTCGGATAAGGTGATATTCGCGTCACGTCGACATCGACTTTTTCGAGCGGCAATCATAGTGGAACACTCAGCAAAATTATGAAAATATTATGTCGACGGTTTACGTATTCATACACACGCGAGACAATCGACCTGTCGACCTTCCCCTCTGAAGGCATACTAACCTCTCCCTTGTCGGTACCCACCACCACCCAAGCGTTTCTCCCACCACGTGACCCACCTGGTCGAACCACCACCTGACTCGATCTCACGAAATCGATGGATCTTGTTTAATGCACGATCTCCCCGTGTTTGTCCCTTAAACTTTTAAACTTCGTTCAATTCTTTATATGAGAAAGTTAAATATAAAACTGTCAAGTTAGAACAGTAGAATTGAAGTAACTAAAATTTTCGTGTATGCTAAATACTTGAATTTTGAACTGTTCTGTATAATGAACTGATATTTAATCTAGATTGGAGTATCTGAATTGTAGATCGAACTGAATATTCAAAGACGCGAATAACAAGCGCAAAAATTATGTATATGTAACAGGACTATAACAAATATTCTAGATCTTACCCAGCTAGAAAATACGTTCCATGAAATGACTCACAGTCAGATAGTTTCACTATAATTCCAACGTGAAATCGAACGGATACATAAAACAAAACATCATGCGAAAAGAAAACGTATATCCCCACATGTGCAATATACTGCAACAATAAACTGTGCAAATAATTGCTTCGTGAACTTAGTAATCATCCGATACGAAATTACTTAAAATCGTTAATCATTATCTGATTAATTATAAATGTAAATTATAGAGCAGTATGAACCTCGTTGAGTGCTCCAATTAGCAATCGCATACGTGTAATAAAGTAATAACCAATTATATTCCTGTATCCCTGTTATCATTAAGCCAGTTGCACCATCTAGTGGCCTTTTAGCTAACTCGATTTATCAGTATTCAGATAAACGATTTTCAATTTCCGTTATCTATAAAGATGGCACAAACTTCTGCATTTTCAGCGATTAATCATTTTTTTGCATGTTGTGAATTCACGAGACGTTATATCGTGAAATCAGAATCCCGGTTATCGTACACCCCTGAGAGGGTGCTTGGCAACCGGAAGCACCAACAAGAACAACGGTGTCGCACATACAGCTGGCAGAGCTATACAGGGTGGCAGATGTCTTTCTCAAATGTCGCCGTTGAACATCATCGAGACACACGTCTGGAAAGTGTTTTCCTCCCCTCCGTGGGTCCTCAACATCATCGACGAGGAAGATACAGACAAAATCGTTGACAACTTTCGGATTCTTCTTTGATCCGTCGATCGTTAACTTTCTAATAAATGTTTGACAAATTGTGAGTCGATAACCTGCATTCTCGGGTACCAATTGGTATAAACAATCTTACGCAACAGGTAGTGTATAAATTTTATTTACTTGCTGTAATAAATCGTTTGACATATCTAATTTGTAACCGTTGCGAATTTAGATACGATTTGTCTTCGTTTACTGTTAACATATTGCTGGGTGTCAGGGATACACGTGGTGTAACTACTCGTGACGATGTAACGCGCAAAGTCAACGCGTTGCGAATTTAACGCGGAACAGATTGTGCGTTGCGAGTTCAATATTCAACGTGTTGCAAATTTAAGGTTTTGCTAATTCGATGAGTGGTAAATTTTACGCTTGCAAATTCAATTTGGTGAAAATTTGACGTGCTGCAAATTTAACGCGCTGCAAATTCAACGTGCAGCGAATTTAACGCGCTGCGAATTCGACGTGTTGGAAATTTTACGCGCTGCGAATTCGACGTGTTACAAATTTAACGCGCTGCGAATTTTACGCGTTGCAAATTCAACGCGCTGCGAATTCGACGTGTTGGAAATTTTACGCGCTGCGAATTCGACGTGTTGCAAATTTTACGCGTTGCAAATTCAACGCGCTGCGAATTTGACGTGTTGCAAATTTTACGCGTTGCAAATTCAACGTGCTGCAAATTTAACGCGCTGAGAATTCGACGTACTGCAAATTTAACGCACTGCAATTTCAACGCGTTGCAAATTCAATATGTAGTAAATTTTACGTGCTGTAAATTCAACCCAGCAAGTTCATCGCGTTAGAAATTCAACATGTGGCGTTGCAAATTCAACGCGCTGAAAATTCGACGTGCAGCAAATTTAACGCGCGGCGAATTCGACGTGTTGGAAATTTTACGCGCTGCGAATTCGACGTGTTGCAAATTTTACGCGTTGCAAATTCAACGCGCTGCGAATTTGACGTGTTGCAAATTCAACGTGCTGCAAATTTAACGCGCTCCGAATTCGACGTACTGCAAATTTAACGCACTGCAATTTCAACGCGTTGCAAATTCAATATGTAGTAAATTTTACGTGCTGTAAATTCAACCCAGCAAGTTCATCGCGTTAGAAATTCAACATGTGGCGATACAAACGCACGAATTCGACGCACAGCGAAACCACGCGTAGCAATATAATTCGTGGAAGTCCAGCACGTGACAAATGCAGCACATGAAAGTACAACACGTAGTGCATACAACCCATGGCAATTACAACGCACAGAAATACGTAACAATACGATACGTAGAAATGCAGCCCATAACATAAGTCGCGACGTAATTGAAAGTATTTCTGAGAGAATATTAATGAGACTTATATTTTGCAAGATTACAGTTAGCAAAGTAAAAGCCCAAAAATGGCGCACAAAACACAGCACACGCCAGATGAGACAGAGCTGGAGATGATGGCGCAAACGGAGCTCTCGAGGCTGAAGAGACAGTACAGAATAATGGAGAACGACCGAGTCGCTTGTGTCGAGGATGCAAAATTACAGCTTCGTAATCAATTGAACATAATCGACCGTTTGGAGTACGAGAAGGCGGAGCTGGTGCTTCATATTAAAACAGCTAGCTCGAAAACGTTTATCCGCAAGGATAAAGATATGGAGGAGGACTTGAAGTGTCTTCTGAAGACTCAGGAGAAGTACGATGAGATGCTGCAGACGGAGAAGCAGGAGATAGCAGAGTTGGACGAACACATTTTCAAGGTTTGTCAAATAGAAATTTGTTAAATATTACTTCTGATATATGTCTTACATTCGTGTGTCTTTCAGTTAACGAAGGAAGTAACAGTCTTGAAGTCGAAAGTCCGAACAGACACGCAGCTGAAGGAGATGGCTATAAGACAAGACAAGGTGGTTTCTATGTTGGAGAATCGACTGGAAGTAGCGACAAAAAGATTCAACGTTGTGATTGCTCAGAACGCGAAACTGCGTGAAGAAATCGAAGCGTTGCTCAAGGAGAGGACGCAATTCACGATTCTTTGGAACAAGCTCATTGGTCAACTGAACGCTGGAAAGCAGATTATCAATGATCTGATAGAACAGGCTACCATCGCGTTTAATCAAAGGGACGAAGAACTGAATAAAATACAAGCGCTTCGTGATAGGTAATTCGAAATGTAACGGCACAAAAATCTTGGAGTTAATGTTGCAGTAAAATCACGGGTCCAGTGATTTTCACAGAACAGGGAAAGTTGAAAAGATCGTTGGCCCCATAATTTTCAGTTGCGTTAACGACCTGAAAGTCATTCGTATTTCGTACAGAATGATTTATTCTTTTAGTCGAATTAGAAACTCGGAGAGCAATGGCGCGTGTTAGTGGCCTAACAACCTCGATTTTATTAGTATTTCCTCGTCCACTTGCACTTTCTTCCGCTAAAGATGTAATCGTACAAATAAAAGTCTTCCTTTTCAGAGGGATAAGAGATCTGAAGGCACACGTGTCGGAGATGTGCGAACTGCAACGAACTTTGGACAACGAAATGAAACTGCAAGAATTCCTCGGGGTGAAAGGACAGTACCGCGAAATGGCCGATTTGAATGCGAAACGGGCCGCCGAGAAGAAAGCGCGAATGGAAGAGAAACAACAGAAAATTAATTCTTATAGACAGATTTTGGAAATGATTAAAGAATTCACAGGTATTTTTCTTCGGTCCTCGTTGATCGTGGCTTGGAAATTAATCGTATCGAATTATTAGGTCAAGACGAGATCGACAAGCTCACAGCGCATTTCATTAAACAAGAGGAAGAAAACTTTGCGCTGTTCAGTTACGTGAACGAATTAAACGACGAACTGGAGGGACTCCAGGCGAGGATGTCTCAGTTGACGATTTCGATCGAGGAGGCGCGTGTTCAGTGCGAACAAAGTGGACAACAGCACACCGAGACATTGGAGAAGCTCAAGAAAGAACTGGAAGATCAAACCACTCTTGCTGATGCGGCTGAAGAAAATCTGACACAGGTGATGCTTCGTTAATCTCATCGAATATCGAAAACCTATAAAATCAGATTAAGACTACTCAGAAATTATTTCCTTTTTAACCTTCGAGTCTAGACGTTACTGTTATCGAATCTGAAAATGTACATCAGTTAAAGAGATTTTTTGTTGCAGTGCGACGACGTGATGGAAAAGTTACTGAAAGGAATAGATTCTCTGTTCAAAGCGATTCGTTGTGACAATTCACCCATTCTGGAATTACTGGGAGACAACGAACAGATAACGAGAAGCAACGTCATGTTGTACCTGGGAATTATCGAGAAACGTATAACACAAATGTTCCACAAAGTTTATTGGATAGATAAAGCCACCAAAGCGCAACATTTACGACTAGATGAAGAGAAGCGACCTAAGCTGAAAGTGCCTCCTATTGAACACATTGCTCCTACACAACCTTGTGCCCTGTGAGTCCTTATCTCCTTTTATTTCCTTTGTATTCCTCTTATTTCCTAATTCCCTCTCGTGCAGTATCTTTTATACCTTAATTACTCCTGTTAAGTGTTTAGAGAATGACCTTGACATATATTGTCAAAGATTGAGTAACCTTAATATGATCAAAGTCATTACAGATGTACCAAACAAGATATTTTTGGTAAATTTTAACTACCCTAAAAACTTGCACAGATGTGTCGAGAAAGCAGAATTGCAAATCGTATCCGAAGGTTTGGAGCAACCGTTGACACGCGATGAAGCCACTAAAAAGTTGAAGGAAAGGCTGGAAGAAGACTATTCAGATCTTCTGCATAACATATCAGGTTGTCATTTACCGGCGGCTAGGAAAGTTATACAAAAAAGATATCAGTAATCGAAGGACACAAGTTGAATATCATCAAGAGTCAAGATTAATTCTTCGATAAAATGATAATGTTCACTTTTTTATTTATAGCAGACGGGTGATTATAAAATATTAACTGTAATCTGCTTATAACCATCGTTTTAGTATCTATTATTTAAAATAGTGGCATAGCGTTTATCAGTATTTACTTTATTACTTTGCGATAAAATATATTTATTTACAAACAACTTGAAATTGTTCTATCAAGTCTTCTGCGCTTCTTTGGGCGCATCTTTTTTCGCGATCTTGAGGAGTCGTTTTAATTCGAGGATCGTCCGTTTGATGTCGTTCAGCTGCTGCTCGACGTCGTCTTTGTCCGCGGTAACGGGAACACCCTTTCTTTTGCAGATCTGTTGATACAGATTCCAGCAACACGTTTTTACCTGCGTATGCTCTAAATTTTTCTCCGCGGCAGTCACTTTTATCTTAGAAACGATCGTCTCCCATTTGCGAGCTCGCACCTCCGCCCTGTCCCGTCGCGCTTGCAATTGCGCTAATTTATTGTTCAGTCCCATAAATTTCTGTGTCTTTGATTCCGTCATGTGATACTGTAAACAAAGATTTCTTTCGTTACGTAATTACAAACGAAAGGCTGAATAAATTTTACACTCTATATTTACTAGTTCCGCTCCTCGTTCCTCTAATATCTGAAGATTCTTATCCTGGTGCTCAGATAAAATCGTACGCGCCTCCATTAGAGTTTCGTAACGATTAAAAATTTCTGCGATGGACTGAAATTCTGAGGTATCGTTTATAACTTTATCCAAGTACGTTTGATACTTTCTGTATTCTTCCACGTGCGTCTTCATCTTGTCGCGAACTTCTTTCATGTAAACTAACTTAGCGGTCAACTCTTCGATCTAAAAATTATGTACTTGTTAGTGACTTTAATTAACAATTTATAAATTTATAAATATAAACATTTGAAGAATTTTACTTCTTCGAGCCGCTTCGCTTGACGTTCACGTTCCTCTTTGATCTTCGCTTCCGCGCGCTCGCGTTTTTCCTGATTTTCCCTGACAAATCTATTGAATTTTATAAACGATTCACGCAATATCGATTCCTGCAATCTCATCTCGGCCCACTGTTCGTCCATGAGTTTTCGCCTTTTCTCCTGTTCGACCCATTTTTCGCGTAATTTCTCCTCAACTTTTGTTAAATCACTGCGAGCTCTGACCACTTCTAACGCTGGGTAAACTCTTGGCTTATCCCATTCAGGATACTTTCTATTATAGAAAACGGATTTCGTATTACAAAGCGTTTCTGCGAGTGCTAATTTTTTCGCAGACTAAATGAATGAAAATAAAAACATGAAAACTTAGAGGACCTTTTTCATACAGAACTTTTACATCGATTTTCCTAATTGTTACCGAACTGAAAATAAAAGAAGGTGTATTTGCGATGTACCATTGATTATAATAAAGAATTATTTTTACATTACTTAATATTGTGGTCTTCTTGCTTGGATAAGAAATATTCCACAACTCCTTTTTGCGAGTTTGTCACGACAGGTGCTCTTTGGACAAAATGTTTCATTCCTTTATGTTCCGTCGTCATCTTTACTGTTATAAATTAATATTCGGAGTCAATATTCAATAAATTTTTAAGAAAACCAAACGATACAATTGCTTGTGAAGTATTGATCAAACGATTTGAAATGCAGACGTGCTTCTTTACCGACAAAAAGTCCCTAGGCGGCAGAAATACAAAGGGGTGGATAAATAATATGAAAGAATATCTAAAATAACTAATCATATTTTATTTATTTTACATTTTTACAAGAAGGCAATAACAACAATATGAAAAATCGGCGTACGTTATAAGAAAAGTAGACGATAAATATTTTTTCATATATTCTATAAAATTTAGGAATGAACTTCTTGTCCCAAAAGTGAAAGTTGCTTAAGTAATTGTTTTGCGTTAATAAATGTCGTTGAACCGTATGTGATTCGTTTGTTAAAACCAGCCCCACTCTTTTGCTTTACATAGTCCACTAGATTTTGATATTCTATGTAATTTCCACCGCCAACAATAAAAACAATTACATCCTGGAATGTTGGTCGATTCTTTGGCATCTGTTCGGTATGCTTCAACTGCTTCGGATCTAAATAACAGTAATCGTCCGTTTGAGACGATTGTCTTGATTCCATTAGTTCATCAACAATTTTTGTGACTGGCAAATTATGCTTCTTAACGACTAAATTCTTTACTCCTTCCATTACAAAAGAAGATCCTTGATTCATAAGCTTTGAGAACATACTGACTGTCTTGGTTCCACCACCTTCATAACTGTTTTGAATTTCTGTTATTCTGGTGTAACTTCTCAATCTTTTTATGTAAACTAGAGGATTCAAGTCACATCCAGCAGCAGACAATGCTGCTTCAAGTTTGTTATAGTCAGCATCTGACATATTGGTACAAAGGTAATATATAATAGCAAGCCGTAACTTGTCTTCTGAAGTACCACAATCTGGGTCACTTATTGTTTCTAATACGCTTCTATCTAATGTTTGCTTGCCCATTATTTTCTCTTCAAGTTCAAAAAATGTATCTAATCTACGAGATTTTATGGAATTTAAAATACCTGTTGCAATTGATGTATGCATATCTATCAATCGCTTCATTTCTAAAAGTTGTGGCAGAGAATTTACAGCATTCGTCAAACGTGCTGTGTTATTGGAAACCATTGATAATGCTACTTCACTTTCATTATCAATACCCATAGAAGATTTAAGTTTCTTAACATCCTCTTCGAAAGTACGGTACTGTTCTAATTCTTCCTGTATAGCTTCAGCTACTCTAGGAAATGGACTGCCTTTATGTTGACACCAAAATCGATCTCTATTGTCTAGCTCATAGGCTCGTGTCTTTGAACGGGTTCCACCTGCAGGAGATCTTCCCACATTCTCCTCTACAACTAACCTATTTAGAGCCATTTCTAATACGTCATGTGCTAGTGCTTGGTATGTCCAGGTATGATGTAATGGTGTGGCCATGTCTATGTTACGATCCAATATTATAAGAAGAGGTCTCTGAAAACTGTAATGACCAGTTGTTTCACTCTCAAATAAATTATTTCTTGTGTCCCATACATTTTCTCTTAGTTTCTTGTCTATCATTTTAGCAACCATTTCAGCTGCATTTCCTCTTGGACATCTTATAATTGGAACAGTTCCCAATGTGACAAATACTGAGAACAGGCAGTCAACAATAATATCCATTACCGATTCCATTTCTGTGTCTTTTACTTCACCCCGATTAATCGCATGATATGATATTACATCACTATTTTGATGTCTAAGAATAAACAGATCATCTTCCAAAGAAATGAAATTTAAATACTGATCAAATACTTTGTGAATATTTGACACAACACCTCCAAGTATTGCAGCAGCTGCTAAGTCCTCCATTTTTTGTCGAGTTATTGGCGAGATGAAGTTTAAATGATAAATATCATATAAACCACTTTGTAAATCCTGCCCAATCCTACCAAGATTTTCATCTGTTGGTGCACAGAAGTAAATAGCTGGTACTTCGGGTATAGAATCTCTGTCAGAATGTAATTGCATGTGGAGTGTAATGCCAAGATTTCTCAATTCTTTTACCGATATTAACGGCGAAATGATATCTTGTCCAAGTCGATCGTAAATTAAAACTTTCCATACCGGTACTGCTTCTTCTAATTTCTGTTCCGGTTGATTTAAATTTAACATCTGTTTCAAGGCATTTATTTGCCTGTCACGTAGACTCATCATGGTTATCTCGTTTTAAAAAATTCCACTTCTATGTACAAATCTTTTATTAACAAGTATTGTACTTCTACTTAAATGAGAAGTTTTTACAAAATTAATTTATGTAATTTTAAGACTACATACAGTAGCAAATGATTGAAAATAACATATCTCAAATACATATGTCAACATTCGATTTTTAACTGTGAATTGTCAAAAATGGTGCATATACTACATTCATAGAGAGAACATACTGTTTTGCGCAATACGACTAACTTCAATTGATGCTTTATCATAGGCAAAGCTCAATGAGCTCAAAACTAATATATTGTCAACTTATAAATGTAACATTCCCCATATAGGTATAAATATCAATCTCATATTTTCAAAGCTGCACCTCGAAAGTTATGAATATTCATTTTTTATACTATAGAAAACTTGGCATTACATAATTCAAAGCAACTGAGCATAAATATTATAACTTGAAATGGTTCAAAGTTTTTTATGATACTTATTGGTAGCATTGACCGGCAGCAAAATGGCGACCTCCTTTTGCTGGGAAAGTAAAATCACAGAAAAGTTCGATGTTAATATAAGGCTATCGTGCGTGACATGTAAATAATAAATAAAATTTCAATAATATAGCATTAAAAGAATTATTTTAACGTTCACTACAAAACATACATTGAATATTCGATGAGTTTTCGGTGATACGTTTCTGACAGCGTGTCCACAATGGCCGATGACTCTACTTCTCTGCCAAAAAGGCGTCAATTGGTAAACAAACTAAAGATAACTTTGTAATTGAACACTGGATAGAGTTGTTCTGTATGAAATTTTTCATTAAATTTGAATGAAAATTTTCTATTTATTATGAATTTTATTATAGCGGGAAAGAACTAGAAAGTTGTATACAGATGACTGGGCCATAGGTGATGAGGAAATCGAGGGTCGTAGGACTTTTCAACTGGATGAAAAAATTGAATGCGAAAGATACAACCTAAATAATTTCAGTGGATTATTCCGTGAAATGAATGGTTCTGAATTGACTCTAGCGTTCTTGCAGAAACATGGACTCAGTATACCATTGCTCTTCAAAGACAAATCTGGATTGGGATTGCGAGTTCCCAGTTCAAATTTTACAGTTAATGATGTGAGAACGTGTGTTGGTATGTTTATAATAAAGATATATTTTGTTATATGCTTATATTATAATTAAAGATGTACTACTTGACACGTTTTATTTTTAAAAGAACAATTTATTATATGTGTTTTCAGGTTCAAAAAGAGTATTAGATGTAATGGATGTTAATACACAAAAGAATGAAGATATGACAATGAAAGAATGGCAAAAGTATTATGAAGATCCTAACAAAGAACGGTTGTTAAATGTAATTTCTTTAGAGTTCAGTCATACCAAGTTAGAAAACTATGTACAGTCACCTTCATTGGTAAGACAAGTTGATTGGGTAGATGTTGTATGGCCAAGACATCTTAAAGAAGCACAAGTGGAATCTACCAATCTTTTGGAAGACATGATGTATCCAAAAGTGCAAAAGTATTGCCTGATGTCTGTGAAAGGTTGTTATACAGATTTCCATGTTGACTTTGGTGGAACTAGTGTGTGGTACCATATCCTAAGAGGTGGAAAAATATTTTGGCTTATCCCTCCTACTGAAAAAAATTTGTCCCTTTATCAAGAATGGGTTCTAAGTGGCAAACAATCTGACGTTTTCTTTGGAGACATGGTAGACAGATGTGGTAGAATAAGTTTAACAGCTGGCATGACTCTATTTATCCCAACTGGTTGGATTCATGCAGTGTATACTCCTCAAGATTCTTTAGTGTTTGGTGGAAATTTTTTACATAGCTTTGGTATTGAAAAACAATTGAAAGTTGCACAAGTAGAGGAACACACAAAGGTTCCACAAAAATTCAGATATCCATTTTTCACTGAAATGTTATGGTATGGTTATACAATTATTGAAATATAAGTTTTTCAGAATCCTTTAGTTTATTTAAGTATTCATTTTGTTGATAGGTACGTCTTGGAGAGGTACGTCCACGTTCTGCTCGGCAGGAGTCATTTAGATATTTCCGAATCTCACCGTCAACATTCAGTTCCACAACACCATCAGCACTTACACCTGACACCGTTCGAATTACATGGTTTAAAAGCAATAGTTATGTATTTACATTCATTACCTTCTACTAAAAAGAATGTGCCTGAGCTGATTCGCGATCCCGTTGCCTTAATTCACGATGTTCGATGTCTGGTAGAACAACATCGACACGATAATCCGGACGCGGCTGTAACAGGAAATCCTGTATTACCACCTCCACCTCCATTAACTATTGCTGAAAGGGTAAGCGAAAATTTCACATACTTATAATAGAATATCTTTATTTATCATTTAACTGATTAACAGGAACGTCTAAGGGTAACTAAAAAAAGTTTTGCAAAGATACAGAGGCATCACTCACAAGAGAAGTCTGAAAGAGCTTTCCCGCGGCGAAGGCGTACCAGGTGTAAAAAGTGTGAAGCATGTACAAGGACTGACTGCGGGGAATGCATGTACTGTCAGGATATGGTGAAATTCGGTGGGAGCGGTCGTGCCAAACAGACGTGCTTGATGAGACAATGTTTGAGGCCTATGCTTCCGGTCACAGCAGCTTGTAAAGTTTGCCGATTAGACGGCTGGGGACAACCACCTGCTCCGTTAATGGGTATGTACTTTTTCGTTATCGTGTCGAGCGAATAATTTAATAATAAGGACAGATATTTTAATTTGCAATCTCTGATCCAGGGAAACCAACGCCGACAGCTCCGTCGAGTTTGTTAGAATGTTCGATATGTTTTGACATTGTACATCCCGCGTGCATAGGATTGGATCCCCAAACAATAACCGTTAGCGACGATTTACCGAATAGTTGGGAATGTCCCGAATGTTGTGAAAGCGGTCGAAATTTAGATTGTAGGCCACGTCAACCTAAGGCTCGTGCTCGAAAACTTTCTGTATCTAGTGCAGCTTCATCCGCACCCACTACAGATTCTGAAAGGGCTACCACACCAAGTAAACGTTCAAGATCCGATCCCAGCGATGTAAGTCCCCAAATGGAATCTGAAACGGTCTAAGAATACGAAATATTCATGGTTTCTATACAAAAAATTCCAGGCATGGAATGACAGAGAACCGGCTGAGGGTGAACAGCGAACAGCTTTGCGTACACAATTAGCTGTACAATTAACTGGTTCAAGTAGTAAGTCATTGAAGAGGCCCCACGTGGTGGTTAGGCCTGTTCCACTTCCGCCTGTTCAAAGACCAGGGCCTGATTTTAATGGACAATCTTTAGCATATGACAAAACAGCATTACTTGCTATTTTTAGATTTTTAAATGCAAAGGACCTGGCGAATTGTGCCTTGGTTTGCCGTACATGGGCCAGATATAGTATAGATCCTAGCTTGTGGAGAAAATTGGACATGTCTCATTCTCATCTGACAGCTTTGCATTTAACTGGTATTATACGCCGCCAACCGGAAAATCTGTCTCTTGACTGGACAAATGTAACTAAAAGACAATTAGCCTGGCTGTTAAGTAGATTGCCGCAGCTTAGAACATTATCTGTACAAGGTTGTTCGTGGGCTGGAGTCTGTGCTTTGAGAACTTGCACTTGTCCGCCGCTTACCACTTTAGACCTCAGTCACGTATCAGGACTGAACGATTCGAGTTTAAGGGAGGTCCTTAGTCCACCTACGGATTCGAGACCCGGTCTAATTGATAAAACTTCAAGATTGAAGCATCTTAAAAATTTATCTTTGGCTGGATGTGATATAACTGACGTAGCTTTAAGATATATAGTTCAACATTTACCTTATCTGGAGACGTTGGATCTCTCTTCTTGCGGTAGAGTTACTGACGCCGGTGTAGCGCAATTGGCGACTCCACCGGCGCAAGCAGTAACCAACCTAGCATCACTGAATCTGGCAAACTGTAGATTACTTACAGAAACGACGTTAGATCATTTGGCAAGATGCAAAGTGCTTAAACGTTTGGATCTCAGACACACGACTCAAGTTTCGACTCAGTCTGTAATTAAGTTTGCTGCGAAAAGTATTCATAATTTACATGTGACGGACGTTAAACTAGTAGAAGAAAAAAAATTTAAAGTCGAGGTTAAAGTTACGTGAAAAAAAATGTATCTGGTTATGAGGATTTTCGGCAAGTGCAATTTGGTTACTTTGTAAAACCAAGAACAATTATGCCGAATATCAGTCAACAATTATTTATTGTCATGAAAATCCATCAGCACTGTATCGCATCTTCATAATATAAAAAAGTGGACCTGACTAGTATAGGATTTCTATTCGATAACCTTCAGTTTTATCGATGTCACTACGCGATATGAGCAACAAAATACTTCAATTCGAATTAACCAAGGATTACTTTATTTTTTGCTTATTTTAACGTAGATTGCTGTCTTCCTTTATGTCTGGAAAACACCGTACACGTTTCAAAAATATTTTAAGATATTAAATCTTAACGAGTACAGGATATTAAATAAGTAATGCGAATTCCAGGAATGTTATATCACGAATCACAACTTTAAAGCTGCGCTAGTTGCGATTTTTCGCATTCCTAATTATAAAATTACGAGCAAATTTTCAGAGTTATGTTCAGTTTCGCATCGTATAACGAAACAAACCATTACTCGTTTAATATTCAGTATTGTATTAGAAAAGTGATGGACAGATAAAGTGCTCGCCAGACAGCTCACCGGTGTGCACTGTGCACGCAGTGATAAAGCGAAATTTGGGAATTTGCGAATTTGAGGATTTGAAAATTTGAGAATTTGAAAGTTTAGAAATGTAGGAACTTACGAATTTAAAAATTTAATGATATACAAGTTTCAAATTTTCAAATAACTGACTACCCACTCAATGCACGTTACTTGCATACCTGTGCTGTGTCCTCGCGAGCGCAATCGGCCGTCACCATGTTAACGGATATCAAATGCATCAATATAGAAGTTTTTACTGTCGTATCGAAAGACGAGCGTACAGTATTTGTTTTGCAATTCTATACGGATGTAGGAATACGAATGCGGGTAAAAAGAGATAAATGTTGACGTCTGTAGTCTTACGAGGAACTCAGCGAAGTAGCATATCGACGCTACCGATCGCCTATATATATTAATAAAAAAAGAAGAAAGAGGTATATTTATTTGTATGTGTGATTGGATAAGTTTCCAACTGACTTCGTTAAGTCGCAAAAATGAAGGAACCTGTTGACCACGTAAACTCATTACTCTAATTATAAAGACGGAAGCGCGCAATGAAACATATTCGACTATACCATTTCATAATATTAGATAGGTACGTTAACATTACGCTGAAAACGTGTACATTATATTAATGTTTTAATTATTGACCTAAGCTACGTTCAACGCAAAGTGTTCTTTTTTTTTATATAAACGAATGTACATACGATCTTTTTTTTATTTTTTTCTCCTATAAAACGAACTTTTTAGTTTCATCTCATTAACATGCACATTACGTGCGTAATTCGTGAGCGATAATAATACTGAGCAATAAGAAATTAAGTACTTGCACTTTAAAGCTTTACCGTTAGCTCATAAATTCGTTGTACAGTTAAAGTATCACGTATTGTTTGTATTATATCTGTGAAAATACTTTGTTTAGATGGACACGAGTTATCACACTGAAAGTTCAACGTATTGTTTCAATTTAGCTCGCAGTGCAATGGTTTTCATTATACTCGATATCGATATTGTTCGTCATGCATTCATTTTTATAATTCAAGCATGTATTAGAAGCACTAAGCTGCGGATGTTCTAATTCTAAACTATGACACTACTGTATAAAGTATGTAACCCACAGAGAACAATAGTGATATTCTGATTTTCAAATATAATTTTAAATTTTAACGATAGCGTTATCATCACTACCCATTCATTTTCGCTGTTCCTTTTTTTAGTGTTGTATTTTACACGTTAACATAATGTAAAAAATAAATAAAGCTTATTTAAAAAAGAACGGTGTGATTGTAAAAAGGAAGTTTTGTATACTAACAGTAGCAACTAATAAATATGTATAATATGCAAATTGTACGCGACGCTAATGCAGATCGAGGAATAATGCTAGGGATTTTTTCGTACAGCATGCGTGTATCTTTTCTTTACTACTTTGAACGATAAAATAGTTATTTGTGATATTTGTAATATACTTGTTTATATTATTGTGTATTTTAAAGTAAAGATATCGTCGTTGAAAAAATAAAATTTGTAAAACACCGGTACTACCTGATCATCGATTAATTTCAGTAATAAGCATGTGAGTTTTGTATTGATTTTTCGTTTGTAATAACCTATCAGAAACTGTCATTGACTAAATTATTCGTCTTTATTAAAAAATAATTTTACAACTTGATAGCAAAAGAAGCATATTAATCATTTTTTATATAAACGTTTCTTACATCTGCAAAGAATGTTACGTCGGATAAATTAATGACTTATATAGAAAATATACATGTTAAAACTCCTTCTGTCTTTTGTTCTGATCGATAGACATGTTTTGATGTTTTCTCGTCAGGTCGTTGCGCATGCAGATTATTTACCATAGATACTATAGAAAACAAAGTACTGCGTACGTTGAAGTTGAACGATAGTAAAAAAATGGCTGTTCTGTACTGCGCATTTGATTTGAATGAAAATTCTGTTTTGAGTGTAAAATCCTCTACAAAAGGCGTTTAGGTGAGTGTGCGTGTATTAGTTTCGTGTCTGTTCTTTTCAGACATAAAATTTTCTATATTTTCATATGTAATACTTATATGTGCATGTATACAATTGTCCATAATAATATTTAAACTGTTTTTTACATTAGCTTAACCTAATTCCGCTAAAACAGAGTCAAGATCCTCTTGTAATGTAAGGCTTTCTTCTCGTTGCTTTGCTAAATCATCTTTCAGTCTATCAACTTGCGCTTTAAGTAAATAGTTACCCTTCTTTAATGCAGCTAAACGTCCTTCACGTTTTTTGGCTTTTTTCTGTCAGAATATAAAATATAAAGGCATGTTAAGAAAGTCATTAAATACATAATATATGTTTATCAAATATTTTACCTGTAAAGAATTTCTTTGTCCTTCCAAAGAATCATCTTCATCTTCTGTCTCAGTTTCCTCGTCCTCCTCTGATTCCTCAGACTCAGACTCTTCTTCGGACTCTGTTTCTTCCTCCTCCTCTTCTTCTTCATCTTCAGTATCAGCTTCACCCTCCGACATCAATTTTGCCATTTTATCAACTTCTTTCTGTAAGTGCTTGAATTTCTTTTTCTCCTCTTTCAATAATTTCTGTTGCTGCTTAATTTGATCTTTCAAGGCATGTCGTTCTTTTCTGGCATTGACCGCTTTATCTCTGTTGAATAAAGATATTATTTTTTCTATCTTGTACATAATCTAAGAACATCAATACTTACTTGGAAGTCTTTATTTTTGTAGTTAATAGTTTAATTTCTCTCTGTAACCGTTTCTCTGATGCCTTTGGATCTTTTTCGTCTTCCTCCTCCGAACTCTCTTCTTCTTCTTCCTCCTCTTCGCTTTCACTAGGTTCTTTCTTGTCTATGCTTTTCTGTGAAGCAATTTTTGCTACGTCTTTTGCACTTGGACAACCAGCCAGTGCCATTCCTGAAACAGTGTACCATACTGCTTCGTCGTAATCATCCGCTAGCTCTATAACTGGCACAGGCTCAAGCTCTTGCTCTATTTCCAAAGCATTTGATAAAGAAGCAGAATTAATATAAGCATAAGCATTTGAATATTATTTAATAATGGATCAAGGATATTTGTGTTTAAGAATGTCCTAAATTTTTCATTAAAACTCTGAGTTTCCATGATCATTTGGTGGTACTCAAAGTATTAAACGACTTTCTGGTAAATGTTTACAAATAGGGAGCCATGCAGCGTTAAAATATGCGCGAATGCGGTTTTATGCCCGCCCATGTTATTGCGACGTTCACGAATAAATTAAGTTACAGGAAAACCGTGATCGTACCGGCTTTCATGCGTCGCTCCAAATTCGCATACATTCTCTTCATTTCCTCGAGTTCGTTCTTGAATTTGTCTCTCTCTTCCGCAACGCTAATATATTCCTTCTCGAATTTCTCTGCGTCCTTTCTGGCTTGTTGGATTTCCTGTTTCAACGAGGTCGTGAGTGCCTCATCGAATTTCTTGTGTTCCTGCACGCTCTTCTTGGATCTCTCGCGTTCCACCTCAGCTTCCAGATTTAAAATCCTCGCCTGCAACAAGAATATTCAGTAAGAATTAGTCATTTATTCGGCGTTTACGGAATTTGCGAAAAATTGCAAATCAAATTGTACTTGTAGTCTCTTGTTCTCCCTTTCCAACGCTTCCTTGTTTCTAAGCTCCAGAGCAAGCATTTGCTTGGTACTTTGCAAATCGTCCCTCACCGCATCGATATCGTCCATATCGTCCGAGATCGAGTCATCGGTGGGCTCCTCAGCCTTCTGCATTTGCTCCTCTATCGTCAATTGCCTTCGGAATTTCCTCAGCCCTTCCAGCATCGGTTTCGATCGGTCATTCGTCTGCACTCTCTTTAGCTGTACACCCTGCTGAATCTGCTTCAGCAGTTGGTTATGCATGTTCGACTTTTCGGATTCGAACACAAAGTGTGCCTTCCCTAGTTAGAAACACCCAATCAGTACAACTAACAAATACCCACAATACATAATTCATCTTGAACAAATTCGTTCTGTTCCTCGATGTTTCATGCAACTTCGAGTCTGGTTCGTTTAACAATTTTCAGTTAGAAAACAATCACAATACTCATATTTATCAGATATAGAATATCAGAAGCCTGGAACCACATGGTCCAGTGAATAACGTAATATGAATAAAAGTTGTATGATTAACGGGAACGGGGGAACAGGAACAGGAGGATTTATCGACAAAACTCCAGGAAGTTAATTCAACGATTATAATATTATTCAGCAACAAAAACTAAAGGGTCCCCTTGCGGGAGAACAGGGACAGAACAATAGTCTACGTTCTACAAACAGCTCATATCACAGTCTAAAAACAAAGGCTAATTGAATGGAGGTTCATTAACAATTCAACTAATTACACTTGTCGATACAGGCGGCCCTTTCGAATCAACATTCACTAGAGGGTGAAAGGGGATTTAAAAAGGGGTATCACGAATAAAACAAAGGGTCTAGTAAACGGCTAAAATCGATGACGGAACCAGTTCTCCCTAAGAGAATCTCCCAAGGGGAATCGTAGTAGGATCGAAGTTCGATCGACGATCACCTGCTGGGTCAGCTGTAACCTTGTTCACCCTCTCGATCAGGGGTGCACTCCTGTCGTTGCATTTCACGTGTCTCAAACGTTTACCGCTTTCGACCTCCTTCATCATGCTCGCCCAATCCGGACGTTTCCTCGGTCGCTGCTTCAGCATTTCCAACTTTTGTTGTTGTGTTTGGCTGAGCGGCGGAAGGTCCTTCAAGATCGTTCGAGCCGGAGGCGGTGGAGGCGGTCGCGGTGGTGGCGGTGGTGGAATCGCTGCTCTTGACGAGCTTTTTGATAACGTTGGTGCACCTGTTTGCAAGAAAATTTACTTGTGCGAATGCGGAAAGATTCGCGCCGTGTATATGTTTGTTGGAAGAGGACCTGGGGGTAAGTAGATTATTGGTACGGTGGGGTTTCGTTATGTGGCCTTGGACGGGGATGTGTAAGCACTCAGACAAAAGCTTTCAAATTCCTAAATTATTTCAACATTTTTAAATCCATGATGGTAATCCAAAGTTGAACACGTGTAATATGAAGGCGGCCATATAACGGGACTTCACTATTGAGTTCAAATATAGCATCAAAGTAGAAATTGCAATATTTGTGATGGGACAGTTAGGGTAGTTTTCTTAATATCCGATCAAAAGGGTAATGAGTCTTTCTTTGTTTTTAGGACACACCGAGAGCATTCGAAGAGATTAAGATGCTGTTACCTGTGGTGCTCTCGCTCTTGGAGAGAGGTATCGTGTCACCCCGAGATCGAGACCTCTCGATTCGAACCTGTCGTTCGAGCTGTGGCCTCGAAATTGGCTCTTGTCGTCCATTCTCGCGGAGCTTCGTTGGTGCTGGTTGACTGGTCGCATTCTTTTCACTTTTAGGCTGTGACGGGATTATCGTGATCTTGCTCTGTTTACGGGGTTGCCCTTCCGTCGATGGCTTCGGTTCCGCTTTCGGTACACTCTACAAAAAACCTTTGTATTAGAAACACGCGAGGTTAACTACTCTTCGCACTTTTACACATACTGTTCTCGATATACCGTGTATTCATTGCTACTATAGAAAAGCGTGCTCTTTGTACTTGTAACGTTCGACTCGAACACTATCACGTTATCGTTCATTGTCAACGTTTACTACATTTGAACTACTCGCTAGTTGCATGAGTACCTATACGATCGCTTCCGAGAACTGTTTGATGTATCGTGAAAAATAGAAGGGAAAAAAGTACACCCCCACCTTCTTCTATACTAAAGAAAGAAAGTCTCGAGAATTCTGTTGGCAAGTGTCGATGTTCGGTCGTCTTTAAATAATCTAAATCGCACTTCCCTCTCGATCGCTTTCCGAGCTGCATTACATTAATTATTAGTCTATCATTTCTTCTTCCTTTGAATCATATGATAGGATCTGCACAAATATTGTACCTTCGCTTTTTAATATTTTCAAGAGCAGATGTAAAGACTGATACTTTATATCGTATGAAATCTACACTGTATTTATCTTATATATTTAGTGCAACTGTAAATTAATCCTTTGCATTGCAGTCTCAAGTATTTGCATTACAAATATGTATCAAATAATACACCTTGCAATTCTATCTTGAAAATCGTCTTGAAATTGTATCATTAAAATTCATTTTTCTTATCTCTTTAATGTTTCAATTCTTGTACAGATTTTTGTGAATCATCGACATGATGGAATCCGAATGAACTTTTGAACTTTTGTTTAGGCGTGGGTTAGAACATAGAGGTAGGAGGATATTTGGCGTGGAATTTAGCAAATTCGATGTAGCTTATCGGCAAATTTGCACGAAAGCGTAATATAAACTCGTTAAGAAACTGGCGGAAGACGCAGCTGGCAAGACATTTGAAATAGAAACGCGTGTTCTTTAAATAATCGTGACCCAGAGGCTTATATGCGAGGACCCGTGAGGCTAGCCTTCTCTCTGATCTCTGTCGTATCGAGAAAGTGAGATTAATCTACGTTACTCTCAAAATATTTGTTTACTACCGTCCAATTTAATAACTTCGTTTCAAACGTCTGAAATCGTGTCATGTTTAGACTGATCATTTATACTGATTTTTAGTATTGGTAGTGGTATTTCAAATGATGTGCTGATTTTTTAATTAATGAAAATTCTTCAAGTTCTTCAATTTGTTTATAAAATTTGTTCTTTATTTTTATGACTGCATCTGAAGGGTTGCACATTTATAAACATTGTCTATGAAACAGTAATGACTCTCCAGTTATGTTAACGATTTGAATGATAACAAATGTGATGTCTCAAGTATTGTGATCTTAAATGTCTATGGTTCAAGAATTTTCAGAAATCAATATTGTATAAAATAATTTTGAACAGATAATATCCATGTACTCATTGTTTGAAATTTGAGATCAAGCAAAACATATAAATATAAATTTCATTAGGTGTTTGTTTTCACACTGAGATTTTCAAAAAATATCTCCTCAAAAACCAAATCTTTTTCGAATAAATTCGTTCTCAAATAACAATCGAACGATCAATAAATTACAGTAGAACGCGATACAATTTTATTCGTTATTTGAACAGCGCCCAACACTGGAACGAATAAAATGATATTTTTGTAAGTTTCCTGGATATGCTTGTTGGAAAACTTTCAACCATAAATTTTGTTCTGCGTCGTATTACATCGATTCCGAAGTGTTAGCGGATCCATCGTAAATCGCGAACAGAGCCGTCGATGATCTAACTGCATGCGACAATTGTAAACAATTGTTTGACGTGAACGCTTATGACGTAGCCACGTGTCTTCGAAACTTCGAACCGCATGTTTTCGCGTTTTCCTCGGATCCGTTTTGCCTTTCGGTAATTCCACGTGGCTCGTAGCCAAAATATCGAAAGTATGCGTTTCGGAGACATTGACGTAACTAAGATTTTTCTTTGGGGTGGTTTAGGTTCCCTATTGGTGTCAATGACCTACTTCGAGTGAGTTTTGGTGGATTTTTGAGGTGGAAAATTAGAGATTTGGAGACTTAGAATTTTGGGAATTTAGGGATTCGTGGATTTAGGAAGTGGAGAGTTAGGAATTGGGGGATTTAGGAATTGGGGAGTTTGGTAATTGGGGGTTTAGGAATTGGGGGATTTAGGAATTGGGAGGTGTTGGAATTGGGAATTTAGGAATTGGGGAGTTTTGGAGTTGGGGGATTTAGGGATTCGGGGATTTAGAAATTGGGGAGTTTGGTAATTGGGGGATTTAGGAATTGGGAGGTGTTGGAATTGGGAATTTAGGAATTGGGGAGTTTTGGAGTTGGGGGATTTAGGGATTCGGGGATTTAGGAATTGGGGAGTTTGGTAATTGGGGATTTAGGAATTGGGGAGGTGTTGGAATTGGGAAATTCTGGAGTTGGAGAATTTAGGATTTGGAAAGTGTTAGAATTGGGGAGTTCTGGAATTGGGGGATTTAGGAATTGGAAAGTGTTGGAATTGGGGAGGTCTGGAATTGGGGGATTCAGGAATTGTAAATGTGAGAATTTGAGAATTTAAGAATTTGTGAACCTAGAAATTTGTAACTTCCAACATCCCCAAATTCCCAATACCCAACATATTTTTTCTCTAACTTTAATCCACATCTATAATTGACACATGACAGTAAAAACCCACAAGAAACCTCGTTAAATACAATATCGCAAAATTGGCATCAAAATTCTCAATTTTTCGCATAATTTGCATCGACATTAGTCAAACTCCTACTACACAGTGGAAGCAAAGTGAGTTGCCAACTGATATTTCGAAAACAGATTAAGTGTGAGTGAAGTGTCACGGAGTCATGAATCAAACCTTTCAGAACGCAAAATCGAATCGTCATTCTCTAATAATAATTTTACAAGTAGTAATTGGAATGCAACGCCCTTGTAAATTTCTCCGTGTCAAAATGTTTATAACGCGAACTTGTTACACGACACCCACATGGGTTATTAATAGTGGAGTCCGGTGACTTTGAAACCTAATATCTGAATGGCAAAAGACTGCAGATTGTGGGCATCGTTTGTGCTTCTAGTAGAACAAGCACGTATCGAATCAGACAACGTGTCTGGGTTATTCTACTGAAACGGAGGACAATAAATTAGGATTTATTTTAACATCTCAGAAATGAACACACATTAATTCTAGTTAGAATTATAATTTAGTAGTCTGGTTCGAATAAAACTACTTTGGCAAATTAGCTATCTAGAATTTTCTTTCAATATGTATATAGTGTATGACGCTCTCAAGAGTCAGCACGCTTTGCCATGTCATCCATATCTGCATGACATATGAATCGTACATGTCACTTATTTTAGCTACAATTACTCAGCGTAATAATTTCGAAGTTGGTCTAATAGAAATATTAATAGTAATAAGATTAATATTCGGCTTGAAAAGAATTTTTAATTCAAGTAGTGAAAATTCTTGAAAATTTAATTCAAGTAGTGTATTTAGATGTTTTAAAATACTCACTTTCAGCGTGACTTGAGTAAAAGCAGGCGGTTCTTCGGCTTTGGTTTTGGAGTCCCTCCTAGAGTTGAGGGTCCAGGGTGCAGTGGGCATAGGCAGAGGGTTCGGACCATCCTTGACCCATGGTGGCCTGAAGGTGGTCCTCTGCGGTGGTTGACCACCGGCACCGGGCATTCTTCGTTCCTGTCACAAGCTTCTCTCTTCCTCTTGTTCTCGACTGTTATCGAATTCCACGCTTGACACTTCGGGTCCTCCAGGGATCGCGAGCCGTGGATCCTCTCGAGGATGTGTACGATACGCCACTGACGGACTTCCTGGACGATGAAAACGAAATTGGTGGGAGATGATCAGTTTTACGTGGGAGACGACCCACTTTTCTCGAGACGTTTTCACAGTCGGGAAATCTTCCGGATTGTGTAGTCGCGCTCCCGTCAGATCTGCAAGGTTCACTCTGGATCTCCCTTCGTGGGATTCGGCAGGAATTATCGAACTGCGAAGTGGTTGAGAATTTTTGGGAGTCTGGGAAAGATTGAGACCTGGACCACACATCAGGGCCACGACTGCACCTCCCTAACCGTATGATATTTTCGGCCACGTGACGTCACAGAGACGCAAGCTCGAAATAGAAGACGGTCCTCTTCTTCTAGGATGCTCTCGGTGACTCTCTCGATTCAAACTCTTCTTGATCCAACCTACGTATCCACCACGTCTTGTTTACGATGCAACCGTCGATCGACATGAAGGTCGATCGATATTCAGGGCCGCCACTCGTTTGTGCGAATTGTTTTTAATATTTATGATCATGAACGTTATGGTCATAAACTATGGTCATGAAATACATGTTCTTTGTAGTCTTTTATGATGTACATCATTTAGAAACATAGTAAAGGACGATGAAGTTAGTTAAAGGTTGAATGAACATATAAATTCATCATCCACATCATTTTTTTATATTAATACTACTTAAGTACCTACATGTTGATTTGTATGAGGATCAATTGATATCCAGAAGTACCTAGTTACTCGAAAGCTTCTTCATGTAAGGATTGTTTGGAACCGTTTTTAATACTCTGACGATCGTGAACTTCACGAGACATGTATTCTTTATAATTCTAATTGCTTTTGTTTATTACAAATTGTAAAATTATAATTGATCACTGGTACACAATATACAAACAGAAGAAAAAGAAACTCTTGTACTAAACATGAACCTATTAATCATGTATTCAAGCAACCATTGTATCAATGAAATAAAGATGAATCTCAAACCCTGTTGTAACGTTACTCCAAATAACCCAATGTTCCCCTAAAAAATCACTGAATCTATATATTTTTATCAGATCTGATTCAAGAGATCATCGAGGCTTATCGTGTTAAAGGGTGGGTCGATTCCGGGAGCGGCAGTACCAGCTAGCAGCCCAGAGGCACAACGAGGAGTATCTCAAGTACAATTATTACCAGCAAATCGCGACATACTTCGAACGTCAGTGCAGAATCGCGAGGCAATACGATTCGTGGAATTCCAGGGGTGTAGATCCCAAGGGAGAGCTAGCGAAGGCCAAGAAGGCAGAGAGACTTCTGGTGAGACGAAACAAACTACGGCATCTGTTGAAGGAGGAGGATGAGTCATACAGGAAAGAATTGGAAGAACAGAAAAGACTAAAGAACCGTCCCGAAGTACCTTCGTTAGAGCAATTGAAGCAGAGATTGAAAGAGAAACGAGCGGAGCAGAGTTTATATTTGCCTAAGACCTGTCGAAGGTATCAGTCGTACTTCGCGTGCTCAAAGGAACCCGACAGCTCCCGTTCGAGCACCCTCAGGGATACCAACCTTCAATATTCGCGGGTCTGTAGGGATTCGACTAATTTGATTCGCGAAAACGGATATTCTCGTCACAGCAGTTCTGGTATGAGCGAGAGGAGTAACAAGCAAGAACAGGAAAACGTAGAAAAGAGACAGGAAGTTCAGCGGAGGTCGTCGTTCAGCAACGAACTCGTCCGGCCTAACTCCAGATACTCCGCTCGCTACGCACGCAGGAGTCTGGAGAACACCAACGTGAGGAGCGACGATCTGACAGACTACGGATCCAGGTCATACAGCAGAACGTCCTTTGGCGACAGATATTCGCCGAGCAGCGCGACTCCATCCCGCATGAACGACAAAGAGAACGCATCAAGTCCAAAAGTCCGAGCGAAGATGGATGAACAAGAAGTGAACACCAAGGATCTGGCTCACCAGAAGGAGAGTCCTCACCGAAGATTCCAGGAGAACGATCACACGGAACTGAACGAATCGATCAAAAGCGATAGTGCACCGGAGACGCCCACGGAGGAACCGCTGCATCAGTTACGGGACCTGCAGGATAAATACAGCTCTAAGGAGGATACTAACGCTGAGGTAGACGTGAAAACATCAGAAAAACGGCAATTCGAGGTTGAGAAAAGCATGCCCTGGTTGCGAATGGATCCTAACGATAAGAATCTCTCGAAACAAATGTTTCTGTATTTGACTCACAATGAGTTGAAGAATAAGATCGAGGACTTGTCGATCAGAGAGTCGCATGCTTGCAAGAAGCAGTGCTGGGACGAGGCACTCCGTTTGAGGGATATGAGAAACAGACTGGAATTGCTTCGTGAGAAGAAGTTGTACAGCATTGATAATCTTGAGCTGGATGAAGAGACGAAGAAGTTGGGATTGATTAATATTGATAAAAGGGAGAACGAGCTGGCTGAACGCGAGGATGCTTGTACGGATTCAACGATGTATAGGTAACTAGAAATTTTAATTTTTTATTATTGATCTCATGAGTATGGAAATCTTTACTACATGTATCACGTATGGAAATCTTTTACTCTACTCCTAATCCAATTTCATAAATCTATCACTGGTCTCATTCAGACAGCAGTTGTATTTCAAGATCCCAAAAAATAATCGTCACTTTTTTGTCTCCGGAAGAACGCTTTTAGAGGGTGAAACAGCCCTCTAAAAATAGCGTAGCCCTGTATATTCTACTACATCTACGTCCTTTAATTTGATACAATACTAGAGATGATCAAATTAAATTGATACATATGTATTGATTAATTATGTCGTTTGTTATGTTTGTCGAACGATTAAGTTGCAATCTCGACACGTGGCCATGAGCGATACTAAGGGTCTAGGACGAACAGCACATCTCGCATCTCGAATTAGTCGAACTCTGTCGATGTTGCAACTAAAAATCGTGAGTCATTCACGCCTCTCGGTATATACACTCTTACATGCATTGAGCGCTTTGTAAATGCTTGCCAAGACGTTCGTCACCCTGCAACGCTCCACATTCGTTTCTCGATAGATCACAAATAGGATGGACATCTATAATTGAGTCTAAAAATTCGGGTAGCGTGAAAAAAGTTGGGAATTCGGTTGCTGTCTGAACATTGAGAACTGTGCTGGCAAATTCTCAAATTTGCATATACTCAGATACATAAGTCTACAAATTTCTAAATTTTCATGAGACAAAATTTTACAATTTTCAACCCCTAAAATCCTCAATCTTTAAACCTTCGCTTTCTCAAATTTCCAAGAGCCTTCTACCCATATTTCTTTTAAACAAGATTCAACATAAGAGCTTGGTTTCTTATAAATTTTCTCTTTCAGCGAGGATGCAAAGGCGCTGTGGAAGAAGTGGGTTCACGAGGACGAAAGATCAGTGATCGAGTCAGCACGAGCACAGCGGGAGAAGTTGATGAGCAGTTTGGAGAAAGAATGGCAGAATCTCGCAATCCGCGATAAAGAACGAATTTCTCAATCGTATCAGACCGTAATGAGTGAACCCGCTTTGCAAGAAGCTCATAATCTTATGGCATCGAAAATGAAATCCACTTCTAATTCATACAACTAAGTACATTGTCGTTTTGCTCGTTAACAGGCCTGATTATACGGTGCCAAGCTTGATAATAGTTTGCGTTTGAACTTTTGTATCGAATACTTTTTCGTCAGCAGCCCTGTATGCTGTCAGACGTATTGCATTTAAATTATTAACGTATCTCAGGTATTTTATAACGTAGAGAAGAGGTGGTGCATACTTTCAACGCTAATAACAGACTAAACCAATTACATGGGTACTAGTTTTTAATGAACAAATGATATCGGAGCCGTTCCAGATTGATAGTACAACACTTCATGTACTTTGAGATGCTTGAACGTATATTTGAATAAAAGTTGCTTGAATATTTTATGCTTGAAGGGACTGTACTTGATCAATGAAATTATTTCGTATTTTTTATTTGTCATTTCGCTTTTGCTCTAGTCGTATTTATACTGGCAATATCGTGGTACTGTTACCTATTATATGAGCTTCGTTGTATTTGCAAGACTTTCAATTATGGAATCGTTTGAAACAATATTTTGGTAATGAGATTGCTGTATGTTGGATTATTGAATAAATAAAGAGCTTTATGTGGAAATGATTTTTATTGTTTTAATTTACAAATTGGTTTGATAAAAATTTTGCTGCGTATTTTGAAAAAGGTGGCATTAACTTCATCTCACGGAGTAAAGATATTAATGCTGAAAATAATGAATACTGATAAAGATATAACTGAGAATGGTTTTTGGCGACTCAAAAATTTTTTGCCATTCTTGTGTCATTTTCTACATCATCGACGAGACACAGTACAGTATGCGAACTGTTCAGAACATATAATCCACATCTTTCGACCCACGGAATGTATTGCAAACAGCATAAAATCAATACTAATAAATATATATAATTAATCAATAAAATCGATGTTAATTGCATTTTTACAAAAATGGGACAAATGGCGCCATCTCTCCAAATAGGGTGAACACTTTTGAAAGTGTAGTTACATTAATTCGCAACTTCATCCGAAGCCGGTAAAACATGAGAACATTTCTGATTGAGCTCGCAAGATAGCGCAACGTGGCTGAACAACTCATTCATTAAAAATGGCGCGTAGAAACTGTGTTCTTAATATTTAAATACCATACATTTATAATTATCAGCATTTAAGAGAAAATATACTAATCTCATTTGAGAAGAATGATCGTTCATAAAATAACATCATGCATGAAACAGTATAAATCCTTCGAATGGTGAATTTTAAAATTTTGAAAAGAATGTACAAAAATTTATTAGACATATCTGATTATAACTCAGGCGTAGAATTATTGATCTACCATATAAAATACTAATGACGTCATTTGGCCATTTTCAGTAGCCAACTAAATCGAAAGATCTTAATTATTTTATTTCTTCAGATAGACATATGGTTGTCATAATACGAGTTTGCTTTTTTCATCAGCATGTGTGATTAGTCACGACTCAAAGCGAGCAAATCGAGGGTAGCAAAATTAGCGCTTTATTATTGTTCCTATTCGGAACTCTTAATTAAGGGTTCTTGGTTTCTCCAAAGAAGACGCGAAAGAATTTCCAAGGAATTCGCGGTAGCGTAGGCTAGGTGGTCGCCATTAATCCTCGGGCATACTCGGTGACAACGACCAAATTAGTCGGCCGATCCGTCAAAAAGAACATTTCCGTGGTAGGCGTGCATTATATCCGCCGCGGTCCCGGTCACATGGTATTTCGCGCGCAGTTGCGCATGCGCAATCATTTTCAAAGTCCTCGGTAAATTTTATTTATATACGTGTGCTAATTTAAGCGTAACATGATAATGATTTTTGTTAATATTTACACTAACGTCAAATATCCGAAATAAATTCGTAATATAGGGACTTTGCCATTTTGTTTAAAATATTCTGTTTCTGATGAATGCAGTGCGCTATGTTCGATAAAGTACAAGAATTACATTATTACTGAAATTATCGGAAATTTTCTTGCTGCCACGTCTGAGAGAACAATATTCACAATATTCTCTGGCTCGCAATTTATGTAGGATAAAGAAGAAAAAAGTAATTATAGGATAATTTGTAAACAAAAGTTAGGACAATATCCTTAACGACTGTGCAAGATGCATTACGTGATATTTTTCAGCGGGTCATCGGTCTCGAATTTTCGTGTTAACGTTTAAATCACTCCCACACTGTACATAGGATGGCAGAAAGAGAGGAAGGAAGGGAAGAGAAAGAAATATAGTTTGTAATACGTGCATCGTGCGTGCAATGGCCCGTGAAAGCTGACTGTCTGCTCGGCACCCAGGAGAAGAGGGATGCAGCCACGCCAGCTATGTTAATTAAACGCGTTTCTAGCCCCCGCATAGGAAATCAGAGAAAAAAGGAGATGAGACGAGCGGTGCTCGAGGAGATGGGCCAACGTGAAAGAGGGTGCCGGCTAATAACACGTCCCGTACGACGAACGCACGCCACACGCCCGTCTTCTTCTTCTGCTTCTTATTCCTACTCTTCCTCCACCTACTTCACTTTCTTCATCTTCGTCTACTTCAATGTCACTCTTTTTATCTTCCTCGATTGACTCCTGCTGGAAGAAATTTCAACAAACAATATTTTGCAAAAAGATGTAAATGGTACACTGATAAATTACTTGAAGTGACGAATGGAAAAAAACAAACACTAAAATTTAATTCTCGTTTATGATCTTATCAAATATTTTCAGTTCTTCATTCTCCACTTTGTTTCCATTTCTCTTCATCTTCTTTTGTGACTCTTCCTCGATAGTACACTTATTTAGTTACAGTCCTGATGTGGATATTATATTATGAGAGTTCAGACAAGTAAAATTGCAAAAGCTTTCAATTTATGATCGATTGAGGATACTGCAACCATTTTGTTAGCATCAATTACTTTTCAAACTTACGAGGAATAAAATCTGTTTTAATAATATATGTATATTAATACAGGCCCTTATCAAACTTTCGTGCCATTGAATTTTCAAGTTTGAAACCGCAAATCCTGAAAGTTTGAGAAATTACTCGAGAATTTCCCGAGCCTAAACACGTTCTTATTCCCATTTGTTTTTGCCCGCGTATCAGGGCAAAGGGGATGCGATCAACGTTCAAGGCCGACGCGAAACTTTGCGATAACGAAACGAATAAATTTTCGACGAAAACTCGCGAGCGTACAAAGTTTCCCTACGAAGATTTATCATCTTTGGTCTCGCCAACGATTCGCGTACTTATATGCTAAACAACCACGTGTATATCAAGCGTGCACCATACTGAAGTACAAAAGACAAATACCGAAGTACCGAATAAGGTACAATGATCTTGGTACAAAAATAAAATAAATAAAGAGCAAAGCGTAATTTTAGGAGAATAAATATAATTAGCTGCTTATACTGTTTATGTGTCAATTTTGGTTGCTAATACTATTTATGTCCAGTATTAATTTTACATATCATGTACAAATTCTTTTCATGTACGAAATTTTTTTATTAACTTTATACAACGTGTGCTGTCATTTAACGTGTCAATTTCAACCTAATTACAAAGTAATGAAAATTTGATTTCACACTTGCTCAAAGAAGTAGCAAAAAATGTGACATGAAAGTACTTAGACTGACCATAAAAATTGTAATGTTTATACAAAAATATTGTAAGAACCATGAGTTATGAAAATGTACAGGATGTTAAATGGTTACAAGGAATTTCATTTGGTTTTATCTTTATTTCCCGGATTAACGAAACTAGGTACGTGGCACACGGTGTTGTTCTCTGCCTATTGATTCCATCGGACTCGTTTATCGTATTCAATTATCGGTTCGGTAACGCGATTAAAATCTGCCGCCACTATGACACCGTAAACACCAATTATAATATATTATTTTATTTAACGTTTATTTAATACAGCGGCAATAATCGCGATTTACCGGTCTTGCATTTTACGATCGGGTTTCCTCATAGAATGTATTACGAACTTTCAAAACGTTTCATATTGATAGTTGGTCTTATTCGTTTCGACATTGAAGCTTTCTCATTATTTATTCACGCTGAATTCTCCCTTCAAATTATGTTCACACGTCACACTGCATTTTGTACATTGGCGTACATTTTTCGTCAGGGTTGCAAATTTGTAACCGGTGGCATACTTGTAAATTTTTTATTAGATACTTGGTTATTTTCGAATTCAAAATTTTTGCGGATTCCCAATTTCTGTATTCCTGAATTCTCACATTCTCACATTCTAAATTCTTGAATTTCTGAGTCTACAAATTTTTAAAGAATCATATTTCTTAAGTCCCAAATCTTAAAAATCCTTAGACCATCAATCTCTAAATTCCCAAACTACATGTACAAATTTCCTACATCTTCAAATTCTTAAATTTGCAAATCTCCACCCTCTAAATTTACAAATTCTAAAATTTCTAAAAACCCAAATAAGTAAAACTAGGTATTCTGTCCCACCCCCAGTAGAAGTTACGCCAATGACGACACACAATGTTCGATTTTGAACGCTTTCATTGCGCCTCGTTCCACCTGAAATCGGATTTAAAGTGACCTAAATTGCGTTCGAAATTTCTTCGATACCGAAACATTATGTGGCACAATTTGCATCCTGATTCTCTCCTTTTTCGTTGTTTCTCGACTTAATTGCAGTCGCCCGATTCCATTAAATTGCCCTTTCTTGGAAGCGTTCGAGAAAGAAGAAGAAAACGCGGGAAAAATCGCTCCATCGCGTATGCGTTGGGGGCGGTAAAGCGAACACGGTAAAGCGTTAGGTTAGAGAGTTAGATTCTAACGCGCGGCTAATCTGTCGACGACAGAGAATTTTCCCCGATGATTAAGTGCTTGTCAGACATATGCCGTCTTCGTCGCTTTCCTGCACGACCAGCCACGTGGTCCGTGTCTGCGTTTCCGTGAAATCTATATACCAACCCCTCGAGCCACTCGTACAAATACACGTGCTATTGGTTCACTAATTTGTCGCCGGTGTAACTTTAGACGACTAAACTACCTTTTTTACCCCAGATACGTTTTCGCGTTAGCGTTAAACCGGAACGACTGTAATTTCCGTGTTACTTCAAACGCCGACATTTGGCTTCATGCAGTTTCCAATTTTTTTACTTTCGTTTGTGGGAGATGTAGGACTTTGGAATTTAGCTTTTGGGATTGATGGAGTTTGGGGTTTGCAACTTTGCTATTGGGGTATTGGGATATTGCTATTAACTCTGCAATTTTATAATTGAGGTTTGCAAGTTTGGAGTTTTGGAACTTTGGAACTTTGGGACTTTAATGTGATGGAATTTTTTAATTTATGAATTTTGGAAGATTAGAAGATTGGAATTTTGGAGGGTTGGATTATTGAATTTTGGCACTTTGTGACAGTGGACCTTGGGATATTGGGACGTTGGCACGTTGGAATTTTAGAATTACCGAACTTTAAGACTTTGGGACTTTGACGTGATGGAATTTTTAAATTTATGAATTTTTGAGGATTGGAAGATTGGATGATTGGAATTTTAAAGGGTTGAATTATCGAATTTTGGCACTTTGTGATAGTGGATCTTGAGACATTGGGACTTTGTGACAGTGGA